CCTGAACATCAGCAGAGAGGACTCTTTAAAGGAGAAACACTACATACTGATCATAACCCACCTGAACATCAGCAGGAGGACTCTTAAAGTAGAGACACTACATCTGATACTACACTGAACTCAGCAGGAAGAGGACTCTTAAAGTAGAACACACATACTGATATAACACTGAAATCAGCAGGGAGGACTGCTTTAAAGTAGAGACAGCTACCATACTGATATACCACTGAACATCAGCAGGAGAGGACTCTTTAAGTAGAAACACTACATACTGCATATAACACTGAACAATCAGCAGAGCCTATCCCCTGTGTGCCTTGCAGTCACAGCTACATACTGATATACACCTGAACATCAGCAGGAGAGGACTCTTTAAAGTAGAGACACTACATACTGATATACACCTGAACATCAGCAGGAGAGGACTCTTTAAAGTAGAGACACTACATACTGATATACACCTGAACATCAGCAGGATATGTCCCCTTTAAAAAAAACAAGCTCTGATTTTCCATGAACAAGAGTTGCTGACAGCATTATTTAAATCACATGATTCCACTTTCTGTGTTCCTTATTAAGCGGTCTGAATAATGAGTTCAACCCACTTCCTCTTTTTGTCCCAGGATATCGCCACGTCCCCCTGCTCACCAAGAGAGGAGACGTCATCTGCTCCGCCGGACTCTTTGTACACCTCATGCTCGTGGACGCTCAGTAAAAAAAAACCTCCCTGTGTTTTTCTGGAAACTCTAAAAGGACCTTGTCCAGTTTTAAATGTACGTAATTTAACTCCGATCAAATATTTAATGGGATGCCGACTCACCGTTGTCTGCCTAACACTTTCCTGTTGTTTTGTAATTTTCAAAGAGAAGTGTGTTGGATTGAAGCAACAAGAGAGTGAATGAATGAACGAGCAGTGTGGTAAATTATTTAAGGAAAGTCTTTAAACTGTATATTTCATATTGGGGAGGAGTACAATAAATGACAGGAGTAAAATCCAGCTTTTGGATATTCCTGAATAGCGTTGTAATGTTTATAAATGTGTTGACGCTTCAGGATCATACGAATCATGACACGATGTATTAAAAGCACAACAAGCACCTAACAGTTTGAGTGACTTCACATTGATTTATGTTGTCTGTTTTTGTGCCGTAATGATGATGCTAACTGGACCGGTATGATTTTAAAACGCTCATTTAGAGCCGTGTGTGTCTGTGTTTTCGTTTTTTAAACTTCCTTTAGACTTTTTTTTATTGAGAATATTAAGAAGGTCATACATAAATCTACAAATTGAAGCTAATCACCAAGTGTTTCATGTCATAAACCTCTTTATATCTCACATTATTCCTGTCTTGTCTGTTATTATACCTTTGCACTAGCTCTCAAATAAAACCAGAAGAATTTCTCATTAAAGGTTTTTGTGTTTTTATTCATAATGTAAGCGATTCAGCAAATGGCAATAACATCCTGAGAAAACTTAATCATGGTAAGATCAGCTTAAAACATTGAAAAATATAGATAAATACAAAGCATCACAATTAAAAATTAATTTAAAGCATAAGTTATTTTGTAAAATCACAATCATGGTAACTAGCATTTTAAATCGTTTTAATGGGATGATGGTGGAAGAAAGTATTAAAAAACAACATTAAAGTGATATGATTAAGGCCTGTCTGCGAACATCGGCCTTATTTAGTTTTAAAAAGACATGTATCTGCTAAAAATATGAGTATTCTTTTTCAGAAAAGTCCTGCTTTTTTCTTCATGTCACACTGCCTCCACTTCGGTAGCCGCTTGAAATCTGCTCGAGTTGTTCCCAGCAGGTTCTCAAAGTCCTTATCAGACAGGTAGTCCTGAAAACACAGGGGAACAATAGAGTAAGACTGACCTCTGCTGGACACACTGAGGTACTGCAGGACACAGGTTTAATTAAAATACACCTTTCACGGAATCACATTATCTTACAAACCACTTGTTACATGTGTCTCTTTGTGGTTGTTGTTTTCCTATCATTGTGTGTGTCATTGTTGTTATTTTGAGTCTATTTGTCGTCAGTTTGCATTTCTTCAAGGTTGTTTTCCATGTCAACCTGACAGGAGATAGAAATGAGCAATTAGCTGAAATCTGGCATAATTAATCATATTATAATTAATCCATATAATGTAATCAATTTGAGGTGAAGTGTCTCAGGGACACAACGACATGTTGACTGCAGTGGGACTCGAACTTCCTACACCCTGATTCAAAGTTCAGCGCACTATCCCACTGAGCCACAGCCTCCTGCATATCCTTGTTGTCGTTGAAATAAATACAAACTACTTACCTCCTTTAGTCATTATGCATATGTTTTAGTTATTTTGTGTCTCTCTGTAGACATTGCATTGTCATTTTGAGTCTGTATGTACATTTTCTTTATAGGAAACCACAAAGAAGGGCTAAGAAAATGCAGGTATTATTTTGTAAAGCACAGCTGTTCCGCTTTCAATCTGAATAAACAGCTTTACTGATCATGTGTTTGTGCTTTTTATACCATAACCTTATCATTCGGTGCAGGTGTACTACTAAATATTGGATTACCTTTCAGAGATATTCAATTTAGAAGACTCTTAATAGATCTGTGGTTAAAAAAGCAATCAGGACATTCTTTTAACTGGCTTAGTAATTCACACAATTAGTGTAATAACTTTTAATTGTTCCCCCTGTTTACTGATCAAAACACATTAAAAGCCAGTTTGAAGAGGTGAAGGTGGTGAGGCTAAGTTAGCGTTTTGTCTCCTACACTCAGGGTGTTTCTCAATGTTGAGGAAGGATGCTCCAGAGCCACTATTTCAAGGATGCTACGTCATCGAGTCCCGCTGAAGGACTGTTCCAATGTCCAGGATGCTTGGAATTCTACCGAGGCCGGCCGTCCTTCGTTGCGGGAAATTTCGAGGCTAGGAAGGATTCTTGCCTCGCTTCTGAAGGATCTGACTCGGAGGAACTTGTCCTACCAAGGAAGCGTCCTCGACATTGAGAAACACCCCAGACTCTGCACCCACCTCTCTCAGGCCGACAATTGGAGGNACAAAATATCAAATGTTATGCATATATATGTAAATATCTGCTCCAATTTGCATACATTTAGAGAAAGGATATCTGAACCCAAAGCAAGGTATTCAATCCTTGTCAGGATTGAATACCTTGCTTTGGGTTCAGATATCCTTTCTCTAAATGTATGCAAATTGGAGCAGATATTTACATATATATGCATAACATTTGATATTTTGTGTCTTTCATCTCATACCTTTTTAACTCTCATCTCATTGTAGGCCATTACATCAGGGAGTTTTATAGTGATAGCTATTATATAAATATTTTACTCTATACACCTGCAGTGTCTTTCGTGACAGCCAACAGAAAAGGGCTGCCGCTCAGATAAAGTGACTCCAGTGGCATGCAGGTAATTACTCACTACCTGTCGTTAGATCGGTCTGACATTTTTCACTCTGTAAGAGGCGGAATGAGTGGAACAAGTTTTGATTGGAGGAGAAAAGGAGAGAGTGAAAAAGTGTGCCTATTTCAGATATGCACAGGGGTGTGGTTGTACCTCAGGGTGCTTTGCATTCGGTTCTGACAGAACTGGCCCATAAGTCGGCCTAGGCGTGTACTTGGATGAATGCCATGTGAAAGATAATAGACTTAGATGACAACTCGTAAAAAAAAGAGTGATATAGGGTATGTGAAGATGGAACTAGTTTGAGTCGGTTTATGATTGACAAGTTGCATTGCTTATCTCTGCATACACACTTCTAACCTTTCTAAAATAATTAATGAACAAAACTGAGTGGTGTCAGATTTATTATATTCTATCCTTTAAGTCTTTGGTCAACATCAATCATAAAAGTGCACAGTTCAGTCATAACTAGATAATGCAATTGCTGAAGAAATTGCTAGTGGGAATGCTTTATGCTGAAAAGCTGACGCTAAACTGCTATGCTGAAATGTAATGTGTAAGTAGAAAGTGAAGAATTTAGATTTAAATGATACATGAACACTGGGGGCTTGAATGTGTGATGAGAGAAGAAAATAAAGTAAAAAGGCTTGGAAAATCAGCAGAATATTTGAACTGCAAACTTTTGAACTAACTTGATGGTGAATTATCTGTTGCCATGCTAACGGCATTTGATGATCTCCCATTATACGCTTGGATGCATTGATGGCTGCATCTTTACCAAACCTGTGAAGTTTTGGGCCGTTTGGAGCATTTTCACTGAAGTTATGAGAAAACTGTGTTTCTTGGCGAGCATTGTGTTGCCATGGCAATGGCATTTGAAGAAATCTCAAAACTGTCCCGTAGATGTCTTCACGGCTGGACTGTTAGCACACATGTGAAGTTTGAGCACTTTTCGAACATTTTGATAGGAGTTATAGCGACATCGTCTTTTATGGCGAGCAGTGTTGGGCAAGTTACTTTTAAAAAGTAACTAGTAATAGTTATAGTTACTNGGCCTGTTGGTGCTGCTGTGTGGTGTAGTGTATGTCTGCTGTGTGTGTGTGTGTGTGGTGTGTGTGTGTGTGGTGGTGTGTGTGTGTGTGTGCT